GAAAAATCCATTGCTAAAGAAGAAAGTGAGAAAATGATTAATGTCTTTGATTCAATGGAAGATGCAGGAAATCATATTAAAGAAATTTTATATTGTCAAGTTATAGAACCTATGAAAATATTTATTGAACAATGGAATGTTTATTATAAAAGAATAAGTATACTGAAAAATAGAAAGATAGATATGGACAGACACTTTGAAAAATTAGAACAAATTAAAAAGAAAGGATTGAAGAAACAAAATGGACTTAATGAAGCAGAAGCAAAATACAATGCATCAAAAGAATCATATATATTATTAAGAAATGAATTAATTAATGATATTAATAAATTGAATGAAAGAATAGATGAGATGAATGAAAAAGTAGAACGTTCTATCATGTTAGGATTTACAGAATATATTAATTGTTTAAATCTATCTTGGGAAAAAGTCCCAGAAATGCTTAGAAACATGAATAATGGTGATATCAACACACAACCAGTATATACACCAAATGATCAATCTATGATTAATGAGTCTAATCAACGTATTAATGAATTAAAAGAATGTAAAGATGAAATCGTAGAAACAGTGATACATCAACCAATGAAGAGTGAAGAAGAACATGAAGAAATTGTAGTTTGTCAATTTGCATATTCCGCAGAAAATGAAACTGAACTCTCACTTAAAGAAGGGGATAAAATTAAGATTCTTAATAAAAAGGGTGATTGGTGGCAAGGAGAGTGTCAAGGGAATATTGGTTTTTTCCCTTCGAATTATGTTAAATAATTAATTTTCATATAAATAATGCTTTCTACCCCCTCTTAAAATCAATTCCAATGACAAGTTTTTCATATTTCACAACAAATAGAAATCATTATCAAAAAAAAAATAACATGAAAATTGGATTGTTGAGGTATAGGGATTTTTCAAAAACACAATATAATGATCTTAAATATGGATTAGTCATTGACTAGTACAATATCACATTCAAAGTGCTCTAGTCTTCTTAGATGAAACAATAAAGAGTGTCATGGTATTTGTTCCTGCTTTTTATTCTTTTCATCTCTCTTAATTTAATCTCCTTTTTTTTCTTTGATTGTTTATTTTTGATTTAATAAGTGGTTATTATAATATTTAGTGTTTATAAATAAAGAACAATACAATATTGAACATAGTTCATGATTTAATAGTAATGATAAATATGAAGAAAATGAAATAGTACATAATTTGGTATTACCAATATAATAAAATAATATTGATTCTTTTTGAATTGAAAAGTGATATTGAATCCAATAAATGCAATTATATGAAACAAATTACTCTATTTCTTTATTATTTGGAGTTTTTATATTAACATGATAGTGTTATCACTTAAATATCATTTCTTGTATATTTCATTTTTATTAAAAACCAATGATATATAATTAATAAAAATAACGAGTAAACGATAGTTTTAGAATAAAAATATATGTAAATGGTTTATATATTTTAAATACTTGTATTGTATAATTAAGTATAACTTTTTAATTTTATGTATTATTCATAATGTTTAAGTATTGAATTTAATTCTATACCATTATTCTATCACATTCATATATTCTACATGTTTACATTCATTCCATTCTTCTTTATTCTATTAAATAGTTTGAATAACTCTGTTCCATATTAGTTCTTTAATTGTTGTGATATTTTATCTCCTTCATAATTCTCTTATTCGTTTTAGAACCTTTACACTATTCTCTTTAACACTTTATTTCCTTTTACTTTCATTAATTATTTCAAAATGGGTTATAATACATTGGCATAAACTAGAAAGATACAAAACATATTATCTCTAAAAAAACCAAGATGAAATAAATCATAATAATTATTGTGAATTATTAATTTCTTTTTTCTCATAGTTGTCTTTTATTTATTTGTTAGATTGTATTTTATTCTTATTGTTTTAGATTTTGAATGACAATAAAAAAAATGAACCATTTCAATTCATATAGTTCATTATTTAATTACTCATTTAATTATTTATCAAACCATTCAACAAATGTAATACCATAGATAATTAGATCTTTAATGCTATAAATTATAATCTCCATTTAAACAAACAAAAATAAATATAAATATTGTAATGACTTATATAGAAGAATGAACAAATATAAAAATCATATTGATGTTAAGAATTAATAGCAATTGTAATCAAAATGTTAATGGTTATATTAATTTGTATTTAGCATTAATAGAATAGAATTTAATGAATGGAATATGAAAAAATCCTTAAAAGAATATTAAGATGATGGAGTAGAAACTAGTAAATAATAACTGATGTCATCAAAAAGAAGAGACAATGTGTTTATGATAAAAATATGATACTGTGATATTCTTTAATACTTTCTAAATTTAATTATTCACTTGTCTCTCAACACTACATCTTATCCTTGGTTTCATTTCTAAATAAGGTAAAATCACTATAGTGAGTATGAGACTTATTAATTGAAACTATTATATACACAATACTAATTCATATATAAAGTGATTAAAAAATAACAACTAAATAAATTATTTTTATTTATTTTTTTGGTTTTTATTGAAAAAGAAAAAGTAATAAAATATAATTAAAATACTATAAAAGAATAATAAAAAAAAATAATATTTTATTTCCTTTGTTAAAAATAAATCTATATTATTATAATATATTTACTATTTATATTTACTATATGAATACTAACTTCATCTTGCTTCATGCACTTCGATTTCCTCTAATTTTTATTTGATAAAGAGAAAAAGTTGGTAAATTAATAATAATATTGCCAGATATTTAAATTTTTAAATTTATGGATAATCTTTTAACAAACAAAATTGGAGAATTATACTTTTATTTTAATAATTAAGGATATAACTTATAAAAATTGAAAAAATAAATATTCATGGTATTTAAAAATCATATTAAAGGAATTAATAAAAAACAAACATTATAGAGATTGGTTTACGTTATTACTTAATGCCCAAACAATATAATTTGTGAGAGATTAGTTTAATATTCATACAACTCCACAAAAACAGAAAGGATAAACAAATAAACCCTATGATTTTTTAATTAAATAGGAGTTAACCTATCTAGGAAATAAAAGAATGAAGCAAATCTTGAAAATAAAATTAGACTGAAATTATTTATGAGACATTTTGGGTTGTTATTCCTGTCTGTGATGATGTTACTTATTTTATTTATGTGCCTGTCAATTGGAATGTCTTCATCTAACAATCCAAAAAATACTATTTACGAACGAAATGGTAAATCAAGAAATTGGTATATGGATCGTTATTTCAATCTTGCTAACTTTAATTATGAAGGAGAGTGTTCTAAAGTATTTAAAAGTAAAAAAAATAATGAAAGAGATTTACTATTATTTGGAGGTTCTTTTCCTGAAATAAAAAGTTGGAAAGAATCAGAAGAATTGAGTTATGCACAATTAAAAATGAGTCAAGAAACTATTCCAAATGCAAAAAAAGTTTTTATGTTAATTGGTGATCCACCAACATCAGATTTTATTAGTAATATGAATGAGTGTGGAGTAGAAGTTGTCCAAGCAAATGGTCTACCTCAAGAAAATGGTGCTGTTACTAGGTTTTGTGCATGGTTAAATTATTTAAAAGAAAATAAAGGAAAATATGATCGTGTTGCATTATCAGATATTCGTGATGTATTTATATTTGGAGATGCATTTGCTACATTTTCAAAAGATGAAATATATTTATCATATGAATGTTTAATAAATAAAAGAGGAAATGTTGAGTGCAATGATTTTAGAGATATTTGGAATCGCGAATGGATCAACCAATTCTATGGAGAGGATATAGCACGTCAATATGCTGAAAATCATACGTTGATAGTTAATGCAGGATTTACATTTGGAGGATATGATAAAATAGTAGAATATTTAACTGTATTTACAGAATCTATAGACCAAAAACATTTTAAATATTGGGGGTATGATCAAGCATTATTGAGTTATCTTTATACTACAAGAAAATTAGATTTCTTAAATCCAAAGATGGCTAAATGTGATCAACAATTTTGTTTTGAATTAAGAGGAGGAAGTAGATATGATCCAAAAAAGAAATCATTGTATGTTGGAAATTCAGAATGTTCTCCTGTTATTAGACATAAATTAATTGTTGAGGGATCTGTTATTAGATTAACATAAAAATTAAATCAAAATCATTGTTAAATAAACATTATTTTTTTACTAACTTTTTTATTTTTTATTAATTATAATTTTTTTCTTTATATTATGTAATAAAATAATTCATTCATTCAATATTTTTATGATTTATTTTTTTGTTATCTAAGTTACTTAAATTTTTATAAGTTAAAGTTTCAACTTTATAAATTTATAATGTTTTAGAAAAAAGAACATTACTTTTCAAAAATTTACAAATAATTTATTGATGAAGTTCATTTAATAAAATATTTAACAAAAAAAATATAAAAAATACCAAAACAAATAAATGAAATGTATTTTATGGTAACAGTAATGGTTTATTTCTTTTGATTAACATTCTTTTTAATGCAGTTTGTTCAGGATTTTCCATGTCTTTAGTTCTTTTGAATGTGTTAATAGAAAATGAAGATGAAGGAAGAGAATGTAATTTGAATAAATCTAAAGAATTTTTAAATGAACCAAAATTGGGATTAACTTGATTGAAAGTTTCATGAAAATTACAAATGAATTCGTTTTCAAAACCTAATTGTGGAATAGGTTCTGAAACAATAGATTCTACTTCATTAATGGTTTCATCTATAATAGGTTCTTCTCCTTCTTCTTCTGATTTTAAAATAACTTTAATCATATTATCAGGGATTCCAGAACTATCTAAATTCATTGTTTGACGACAAGAATCTTTATTCATATGTTTCATATATTTATTTCTAACTTGTTTATTTCCAATTTGTCCTTCTTCTATAATTCTAATTCCACTCAATTCAATTAATATTTCACTAATAGTGTCTTGAAGTAATTTTAAATTTTCATCATTAAGAATATTTATTGTTAAACATTCTCTTCTTCCTTTTTCTTTATTTTCATCTATTGGTATTGTTAATTTTTCAATTTTAGGTAATAGTTCATTTATTTCTTTTGTTTTATTTCTATCTCCTAAATAAGCTTTTGCTAATGAATAACTTACTTTATCCAATAATTTAATTCTTCTATCACACCATTTCATCATTACTTTAGCTATTCCAATAGCAATTCTTTTTTTTCTTGTACTATTAAATTCAATAACATCAATATCAATTAATTGATTTGGAATATCATTTATAAAAGGTGATGGAAGAAGGTCAAGACAAACAATAAGAATTTGTGATAATTCTTTTATTGTAAATGAATAAACATTTTGGTTTTCTTCATAATCATTAATAATTTCCATTTTATTCATTAAATTTATATCAAATAATTCTTGATTACATGCTAATTTTGGAGAAAGATATAATGAATCAATAAGACATTCATATAACCCACTTTCTACTTCATCGATATCCATTCCAAGCATTCTCTTTTTTCCATTACTTAAACAATCTCCACAAAAAGTATGATACCATTTCATTGTATTTTCTATATCATCAGTTAATAATGCATATGTAGGAACATCTTTAGCTTGATTAGTGATTTGAATTGCTTTAGTTAAAAGAATACTTGGTGTTTTTGTTTTTGGATTAAATACTAAACGTAATTGATAATAACCAATATTTAATATTAATGAAGGTTTTCTTTTAATTTTATAAAAGAATAAGAAACCATCAGAATATATTACAGTATAAGTAATAAATGAACTTTTTGATTGAAATTGATTTGAATTATATCCAGAACATGTTAATACGTGAATTAAAGTATTATTTAAAGGATGTGGAATACAACGTTTTAATAATTTGTTTTTAGGTATACTTAAATATTGAACAGGAATTACTAATAATTTACTCAAATCACAACAAAGTGAAGCTTGAGCAAATGGATTAATCCATTGAATTGGTTTACATTTATTATCTAATTGCATAAATCCAAATTCATCATTTTTTGTTCTAAATAAATGGACAAGAGAAGGAATAGCATGAGCTAATGGTTTTGATGGATCAACATTTGTTTTATATTTTAACATAAATTGTGGACTTCCTTTTTTACAAACAAACAATAATGATACTGCATCAATTTTAGAATACACTGCAAAAAAATCTTCAGGATCATTTCTATAATTTTCAGTTTGTAAAAGAACTTCTTCAACAGTACATTTACTTGGTAACGTAGCACCTACCTGAAGTAATTTAGTTGGAGCTAAAACAAATTCATAATTTTCTTCTCTTAATTCTTTTACAATATTTTTTATTTGAGTATCTAATGATACTTTAATTTTAATTGGATAATTATAAGCTTCTTCATCTGCTGGTAATAATACCCATAATATAACTTCTCTTGGTAAAAGTTTTTCTTCATTTTTATTATCATTAATAATATGAATTAATGAATATTTTCTTTGATGTTCAATTTCATATACCTTTTGTAAATTAAGTCCATTACATTTACAAATAAATTCTCTTGATTCTTTTTCTTGAGATATTTTAAATTGTTCTTCATCTCCCATTAATGGATCCTGAATTAAACTCTCTATATATTCACAAATTTCTTTTGACCTTTTAATTAAATATGGTGTTTGTTGATATTGAACAATTCTTTTAACTACTTTACTTAATGTTCTACATTTATCTAAATTAATTAATACAGTCTCTGTTTTATTTTGAACTGACTCAAATGCACTTACAGCTGAACTTGTCATATCTTCAGTAAAAAGTAAGTCAGTAAGAAACATTCCAAGATAAGGTAATGTTGCACCAACTGCTTTACGGTGGCATTCTCTTAAATTTTTGAAGTTATTAGAATTTTGAGTAATTTCTTCTAATTTATCAAAAATACGATTCCCATCTTCTCCTAAAAATCTTTTTGTCAAACGGAGACGATGAATAGATGCTTTAGAAAATGCTGATGCAATTTCCATTACTCCATTAAAATTATTTAACATAATAAATCCATTACCAACTTCAAGTATTTGTTTTGCAATAGAAACTCTATTACTAACATCAGGTGCATTAAGTAAAAGTCTTACAAAAACGTCATTCATTGCATTAAAATGATGAACAAAATTAAAGATATTTGGTGAGTTTATTTCTTTATCTTTTTTATTCCATGCATATAACTCAGGTGGTTTAATTGCTTTAAACATTTCCCATTCAATAAGTGTAATTTGTCGTGAAATCATTAAAGGATCAATTAAAAGAAAATTTGGAACTGAAGTAAATAAACTCATACCTGTTCCAAATGGTTCTTCTACTATTGTAGTAATAAACTCTTTTCTTTCTAATCCATCTTGTAATTTATGTTCAGCAATAATATCACCAGAAAGACTATATAAAGAAATAAATGATTGTAATATTTGAATCGTTTCATTATCACAACCATTCCACATTTGATTTACCCATTTTTCAATAATTCTACTAATTGTAGTTAATACAGATGGTGTCCCAATATTATCAATATATTTATCATATAATTTTTTTAAAACAATAGTTTGTTCTGAAACACATCCAAATGTATATATAAAAGTATCTCTCATTTCTTCATCACATTGTTCACTTATAACGTAATCAATTAATCCTTCTAATGTAGCATATTTAACAACGTCCCCTTCTAATATTACTTTTCGATTTTCATATTTTCTCACTGTAGCAAAATTTGGTCGTGATACTTTCCATGTTTCACGTGGTGAATTAAACGTAAATCCATTTCTTGTTTCCATTTCATTTATTAATGAACTAGATGTTTTACATTGACTAGCTTTAGTAGTAAAAGGGATTGGATTTCCTAAATAACTATTAGGTAATTCTGGAGTAACTGGTGAAGATTTACTTGTTTGATTAATGGTAATACTTTCACATGACTTTGTCATTCTATTACTATTTCTTGCTAAAAAATGATGAGATGAAATTGATAAATTCATAGGATTTGTAGGACTAAATTTCTTCGGTGATGGTGGTGTAGACATTCAATTAAGAAAAATTGATTTTTTATTCTTTAGAGTATTTAAAAGCTCTTTGTTTTTTTAATCAAACTTCCAAATCTTTTTGATTTCTTTCTTTGGGAAAATAACATGACGTTCATCTCCTTTCTTCTTTTTTGGTCTTTTTGTTTTTGATTTTTTACCTTATCCCCTAATTATAGATGATTCATGTGAACTAATAACTCACTCTATTCGTTTCTTGTTAAAGACAAACCTTTTGAACACTAACAATAAACAAACAGATAATTTTGTTACTATTTGTTTAATTTATTAGTCACATTAACCTTTTTATTTAAAACACAAACGAATAAAAACCATTTAAAAAGAATAGAACTTGTAAAGAAAAAACTTAGTAGTTAAAATGAAAAATCCCTGAAAAGTTTCTTTATTAGCACTAATCATTCTTTACTTAATTGAACGTATTCTTACTAATTTTATTACACACACTATCTTGACTAACTTTACTCAATAAGTGATTGTTTTAATTTTACTTTTAATATTATTTTTGTTTGTTTTTAATATCTTTCATTACTAAAGAACATACTAAATAATTTAATTAATTTATTTTATTTACAAAAATTAGGTTTTGTATTTATTTTTTTTTTGTGTTATTAACACTAACAAAATTGCTTTTAGTGTTTTTATTAGTTATTCACTTCCTTGTATTTTGGTTATTACTATTTTTAAGTTTTAAACAACTACTTTTCTTCTCGTTACCTTCAAGATGCAAAGACAGTATTGTTTAGGGTCGTTATCTGTTTAGTATAGACCACTCTTCTTTGGAGAGAAAGAATTTTTTTAAAGACCCAAACAAGCATTTTGTATTATCTTTAAAAAAGTGTTATTTTATTGTGAAAGATAATAAGAGAGTGTTAAAATCTCTCATCTAAAAAAAGTAAATTAATAGATAAAAAAGAAGTTCAGTTAAGTTAATGATATTGATTCAAATAATTTTTAAAAAATTAATAAGAAACTTATTAAATTAAGAATTTATTTAATTGAAAAAAAGCACAAAAAAATTGATGTAATTTTCATTAGAAAAACTCAATAAAATAACATTAAAAACTAATATTTATTCATTCAAATTCAAAACTAATATTTATTCATTCAATTATATGACAGTCGTTCGTCTAGAAAATGTCTTTTTAAAGAATGTACTATTCTATCTAGAAACATTAGATGATGTGTGTAATTTTAATCAAATAAATAAAAAATGTGGAGAAGCAATAGCAACAGTGTTCATTAATCCATTCAAATTAAGCCAATTTTACACATTCAGTCAAATTAATAAAATATTTCCAGTACTTCAAACGTATTATTGTGCAAAATCTTTCTGTACACCAAAAATGATAGAAGCACGTAATATGCCATTAATGGAGATTGGAGCATGGGATAAAGGATTACCTACAACAGTCTTCTCAACAAAATGGTTTGCAGAAAAAGTTAGAAAAGTAAGAATAACTCAACCTATTATTCACTCCTTTATTAAAGGAATTAACAATTATACAAATCTTATTCATCTAACGATAGAAATTGAATACAAACAAGTTAGTATAGTAGAAAAGATAGTTGAAATTAAATCACTACAAAAAATTATCATTTATTCAAATTCATTCTATATTCTCAGTTTAGCTCAAAGAGAGTTCATTTCAATACAATCAAAAGCACAACTATACCTTATTAAAACAAAAAATCAACCAAGATATGATCTTAGTAATGATAAAATTGATAAGTCATATCCAAATATTCATTTTTATTCAGGAAATATAGAAGTACCAAAAGATGAGTATTTGAATGTTAGTCAATATTCATTCACTATTAATACAAAAAATAAAGGTTTCTCATTAATTTCACACGAATCTTCATTACTAAATACAGACAGTTTGAAACAAACAGCAAGTATAATAGAAAAGTATGAAATTTCTAAACTCTTTTTCTGTCATCAAGGCAGAACATCAGTTGAAACAAATTTAAGTATGTTTATGAATGTCACTGAAATCTCATTAGATAAAGTTAAGAACAAACTAACATTACCACTCTCGGTGAAAAGATTAAATATGAAGCAATGCAAAGTTTGTTTTGTTAATAATGGAGTTCGATTAAAAGAAATTCGAGGATCTAAAGGGTGCTCTGTTAGTGGAGAGATTTGTATTGATGATTTAAAAGTATTTTCATTTGATAGTAGTCGTATTGATATGTCTTGGATTGAACATGGAAAAACAAAGAGAGTTGGTATTGATATTCGATTAGATGTTTTTGTGTTAAACAACACATACTTGTCTGGACCTAGCAGTTTATCAGATGAGGAAAAGTATGTTAACCGTGTGAGTGTCAAAAGAGGAAAAAGTCTAATATTAAGCAAGTTGGACAATCAACTAACCATTGACCTACATAAATTTAACTTCAGAGTGGTTGAGATCATTAGTTGTGATATTAATGAATTATTGATTGGAAATGTTATTTGCACATTAACTTTCAAACCAGAGATAATTAGTTTTTGGGGTAGAGGAGAAGAGAGGCTAGTGAAAATTAAAAAATTACGGTGTGGTACAATTGGTAAAATACAAGGAGAAGAATATTTAGATTGCAAGAATTTTTATTACAAGGGGACTGAAATAATAATTAGCGAAGAAGAGAAAAACTGAAGATAAACAGAAGATTTAAACATAAATATAGAAAAGCAATAAGAATTTTTTAAACACTTAAAAATTTATTTTTATTCATTATTTGTTTATTTATCATTCATTTTGAATAAGGTTCATTACATATATTACAAACATATAATGTTCATTGATCTAGTATCATTCATGATAAATTTAACCACAGTCAATACAGTTATTGAGAAATTTAAACTTAGTAGTGTTTGTAAATTTGATATCAAAATAAATTATATAATTTATTGAACTGAACTAAGCTGTCTTTTTCTTCTTTAATACATATAATCAGTTCAACTTATTTATTTTCTTTTTTAACGTGATGATTTATTATTTAATGTTCACTTAATGGCAAAATGATTTAGATGATTTTCTTTTATTTTTGAGGAATCTTAAATGTATTGTTTCTGTAAAACTTTTTTGTTTGTAGATAATAAAAATTAATTACAATCAGTTGAATAAATAATAAAATTGCAATGAACTATTATCCAATCATTGTTAAACATGTATTAATGGATAAAAAGAATATAATCATTTTTAATCATCCTTTTATAATTAATTTATTTTTTTGCATATCTAGATAAATAAATCATATTCAATTAGTCTAATTCATGTATCAAATCCATTTATTAGATTTTGAATTAAATAATAATAATAATTTTTCCATCTAACCTTAATCTGTATTGTTTAAGAGGAGTTTGTATCTTATTTTATTCATTTTTATGTTTATTCATTTGTATATTTTTTCTTTTATTTTCTATTCTATAAGAAATTCATTACAAACTCTTATTTCTATTATTATTAATTCTTCATTACTATTAATATACTATTATTTGTTTTATATTCTTTCATGTTTTGTTGTCTTATAATTTTTATTTATTTGTTATTTCTATTAATCATATTTTATATAATTATTCTATTTATTATATTCATTA